CCAACAGCAGCCCTATCTGGGTTATTCCAAACCAACCCTTTAAAAGTTGGGTTTGGTTAGTAGGTGCATAAGTGAGAAATGGGATTAATTAATTAGCTAGTCTTAAGATAATTTTGCACAAAGACTATCACAGCATATGTACAGGGGTTTAGTAAGACAGAATCCCAGGTTACAAAATTAAAGACCGAGTCTTACGTGATTTCGGTACTGCTCTCTGTAGTAAGTGCATGGTAATTGGGCTGTATAATCATGCATGTCACCAAACCAAACCAATCCATCTTTTAAGCCTCTACAGAGAAGGTTCAGAAACATGGAATAAAGTAGAAAGGTAGCTATGGAAAAGAGAGAGATAAGACAAGTTATAGAAAGGAAATAAGAAGAAAGAAAGTAAACATGACAGAGAGGGTTTTGATTAATTTTCCAATCCTTAAAACAAGTAAAGTTGTGAACTAGCTCAACTTAACAAACAATGCAATTGATTATAAAAAAAGGAACTTCATTATTTGTCAGTTGGCATTTCCTAGTATCAGAATCGTCCATTCTTTGCCCCAATAATTGTTGGTTACGCCTGTAATTTGCAAATTCCAACGTTATTATCTATAACTTCTCTTTGTATTGTAGGGCTTAGAGAGATGCACTTTTGCTCCGATTGTACAACATTTATAGCATTTTAGCAAGACAAAGCCCTTTTATAGCTAGGGGACATTTTAGCTTTTTCACTTTATGCTTTTGGGCTCTAAAAAGAGGAGTTGGACTTTTCTATCTAGCTTTTGTATTGATGGCCTCCCCCACTCCATCAAAGACCCTCTAACCCTAAGTCTGTCTGTCTGTTGGTGGCTTGGTGCATGTTCTTACTCATTCTATGAATACTTTTCGTGCAATTAATGCACTTCTGCTGAATTTGCCTATTTATCAAGGCATGTACAATTGGCTCGCTCTTTTGTTTTTTTGTGTAACTTGGGGGCCATTTAATAGCAGCTCAAATGGCTGAATTGAACGACTTATTCCTCCCTCTTCTAGTGAATAAGCTATTAAGGAGGCTGCCATCAAAGTTCCTTAAAATATTGGATAAAGCTGAAGTTGGCCGGATTGATCGCAATACCCTTGAATATATATATATATATATATATATATATTCTTTTTTTATTTATTAATTTATTCATTAAAAGATAATGCAATAAGGCATTAAGGCTCTGTTAGAAAACAGAAATGAATTAATTTGATCTTTTGGTAAGAGTTGCCTCAACTTGAAGCCAAAACACTTTTAATTAATCCCCAAAATTGGGGATTTGTGCTTTCGGCTTTAAAAACACAAGTTCTGAAGCTTATCCTTGTGACTTATGAGAGGGGAAAAAAACAACAGAAGGAAACTTATCCAAACAGACCTAAATTCATCTACTTCAACCATTAAAATCTGAAAACCTAAGAGGATCGAGATGCCTCTGAAAGTAGAGAACATCAGCGCTCACAAACAATACACATAACTACACAAGAATAATTAATTAGTGCTGTACAGTAGTTATATATATAGAAGAGATATAACAAAAAAATGAACTGAACCGGCCGGGTTTTAAAATTAACAGTGCTTTGAATAGTTGGAAGAGATGGTTTCATGGGTTTAGGGTTATGGGACACACTACTGTGAAGTCTGGAGCCATAACTTGACACGTGGCATAGCACCGTGGGATTTGCTAATCCATCGAGCATGCAATACTTGATAAATTATAATATATGGAGAGCCTAGCTAGCTAGCCCCCTAGACCCAAGCTTGTGCCTATTAATTACTTAATTAGTTACTATATATAATTAGGAATATCATAGGCTTTGCAATTAATTAGTTGTTAATTTGTGTAAGAATTCATCATTTTTTAGGCTATATATATCATGATGTAATATGTATAATATAGCTAGCATTAGTTCCATTCCGCCCAGAAGATAAGAAGAATGGGGTGTGACAGTGACTGAATCTGCTCATCATACCTTCAATATTCTTTAATTCTCTATTACTCTCTAATTAAACTCCCCATCGATCTCAATTGAAATGGCACACAAAAAGCTTTCTAACATGCGGTAACAGTTGAGTGAAGCTAGCTGTTCTTCCATGTGGGTGCACGTAACTTTATAACCGTGTGCTTGGGAATAAGAGTTTCTCTGTCCTCGTCCATCTACTCTCTAATCCACCCACCCACACACACACACACAGAGGCTAAGGTTGCATGTCAATAATCACTATGAGATGGAAATGAGAGGTGGTGGTGTTACGTATTGATGAATAGTGAGGCCAATTGAGGTCAAAGAAAATGCAAAATACTCTCACATGGCTGGTGATTGTATGAAGGGAAGGGGTATATTAGCTAGCTAGCCGACCTTCAAAATTTGTAAACGTGTTGAAACAAGTGTCATGGGGCCTGTGTATCGCTTCAATGGTGTTGCGTAATTATCTGCAACTCAACAATCTTGTCACATGGCTTCCCGCCATAGTATATCATATATATATAAGGTATTATTACATTGAAAAACAAAAAAAGAATGACCCACCGTCCCTGCAAAACTGTCTACGATCTCCACATGAATAAATTAATTAATAAAAACTTATGTTAAATGAAAGAATTCCAAAAAGATGAAACGGCCAGACAAATCTGTTATGCTCTATTCTTATAAACAGAAGTCCAAAGTATAAGCTAGCTTTTACATTTTCTAAGGCTGTTTTATATGAACAGGGTAGGAGTTTGCTAGTCCTGTCTGACCCGGGAATCTTTCACGTGACGTTCCATTAGGGCTCCATGTCTTCCCCTCCCTCGGAAAGAAAAGGAAAAAAAAAAAAAATTGAACTTTAATTAAATCAAGGAATGTTCCAATAAATTATTAGTTTTGCTGGCATGAACCAGTGAATTGACCATATAGCCAATCCAGAAGGTCTCCTCTAGATATGTTGAGAACCCTAGAATGGCCAAACATGCATTTGGGCACTAATTAAACAAAAAGTGAAATTAATGGTGGAGTTGGATTCATGTAGCTAAGCATGTTCTGGCCATTCTAGGGTTCTCAACATCTAGAGGAGACCTTCTGGATTGGCTATATGGTCAATTCACTGGTTCATGCCAGCAAAATATTTGATGATACATCTATGTTGGAAGCACGTAGATGTAAATTATCACTTCAAACTTCTCAAACTCTGTAAATTATATCGTCGAGATAAGCAGATATAGTCGACAAAAGGCTCAGTTGAGTTGAGTAATTGGAGCTATGCTTTTATCACTTCATACTTCTCAAACTCTGCAAATTATATTGTTGGAAGCACATGCTGGATCGACAGACATTCTTCTTTAATTTGTCTTCTTAATTTATTAATAATTGATGATACATCTATGCAATTAATCTACCAATTAGAATTTCTCTTGACTGATCCAAGATTGGATGTCAACTCAAAGCTCTATAAATTTCTCAATCACGGTAGAGTGACAAATTCCAGAAAAACTTCATTTTAATTTACATGCAACCTCCTTAATTTAGCGTAGTTGAGTATGGCAAAGCGTCTGGCTTAGCATGTAGCACCCCATAAGCGGTGTTCATAAAGGGTATTTAAATATCCATACATACGTTTTGAGTTAGGGTTTATGAGAAAAGAACTTGGGAGCTGGAAGGAGGAAGCTAGCTAGATAGGGTTTTGTAATACCAGTTGAGATTATGGTGAATTTTTCAGGGTTTTATCTGTTGCTGAACTATATATGTAGATCTTGTGTCTATGTCTGTTCTGTTGCTTTGCTTTCATGATTTTCTCTAGTTTTAGTTTTACAAAACGAAATACGGAAGACTGAATTTTAGGATAAGAACAATATTGTACATAAATGGAGCATTTGTATGTAGCTAGAGAGATGGAGCCTATTGTTAATTTGATGGGTCTCATGAAGAGGAACTTCCAGCTTAATTGGATAACAATAACCATCCAATCTATAGAATTCTCAGGAAGACTTGCCAAAGAAACCTCCTTTGGGAGACTATGTCAACGGAGAAAGTAGATAGTTTTTGGTACACAATCTTGACACTTCATTACACACTTATCCTGTACTATTCACAATTCACACTGCATTTTGGGGCACACGAACAGGTCTGAATTCCTTACTAAGCTTGAAGGAGCTAAAAATGGTGATCTTGTGGTCCCAAGAGCATGATGCCATAAGATATGAATCTATGGTCCTACAGAAGGCCTTAATGGGTGACAGGAGAAATTACAGAAAATGTGTAAAAGTATACTCATTGTCGGCATAAATGGGATGGATCAAAGGTGACTAGCTGAATATAATTAGGGCAGCTCCTTTTAAAAGGCTTCTACCATTCCTTTGTTTCAGAAAATGAAGAAAGCTAAGTTGATTCCATCATTGCAAGCCCTTGTGAGAGACCAAAAGAAAGCTACAAGCTAGGACTGTAGCTGCTTTGGTGCAACTCTCATTTTTATAACATGGAAAAGGAATGTAGACCAGAAATGGTGAAAAGATTCCCAGAATTTATTAATGTGCAAGTGAACAAGGATTTGGGATTGTTAATCCAATAGTTTTTTTCAAAATTATACCAAAAGGAAGTTTTTTTTTTTTTTTTTGGTGAATTATACGAAAAGGGAAGTAGGGTTTGAGTGTTTTGGTGATAACCCACCAAATCGTACTATCCAGGTCTTTCAAATGCTTGGATGTCTGTGCTGGTGCCCTATCTACTGTATATAGCTTGATCCATTAATGGTTTACTAGAAGCTCGAACACTGTAGAGGTATATATTCTTTGAATCATGTGAGATTGACTAGTTAATTGGAAGATATGATTCATACCACCCAGATTGCTCGGATGGTCCCAAACTGACCCAGATGATCACCCAACGTGTAACCCTTTTGGGGGAGCAAAGAGCCTATTCCCGGCCTCTTGGCCTGTGCATTTCTGCTCTCCCTAAGCTTGTATATAGAGGTCCCATCCCATCATCTCTTCCTGCAAGCAAAGTTGTCACAGAATTCAATGGAACAACTCTGGCACGAAGATTCTATCAGCGTTGTCACCGAGACAGATTTCTGTGATACCTTCTCAACCTTGGGCATCGCCGTGAAAGTGCAAGATCAAGATGGGGACCGATACTCAGAGTTCGAGTTAGGCCATGCCATTCCTGAATCCCCAGCTACAGAAACTACCGAAGATCAGGAATCAGATTTTGAGTTTGGTTGTATTACCCCAGGCTCTCCGGCTAATGACCCTAACAAGAATTACCCAGCTCCAGCTGACGTTTTGTTTTACAATGGTCGGCTTCTACCACATGCTTTTCCATTTCAACCAGTTAAAAATGAGAGGTCTGATTTGTCTCTACTCACCAGTTGCACCAGCAGCATTAGTAGCAAAGACTCGTTAATGTCGTCACGTAGCAACAGCAGCAACAGTAGAAGCAGCAGCTGCTGTAGTGCGCGAACCAGCTCTAGCGAAACCAGCGAGAGAAGACCATCGATCTCCGACAGAATGGCAGCTCGATCACCAATTGCGGGAGAAAGAAACCAAATAAATAGGCCAGTCGGGTCTCAAGACTCTCAACCATACAGTACTTCTACGCAAAGATGGCAGTTCATAGCGCCAGCACCAATTTTGACCCCATCCACAGAAATCTCCCGTAGAAAGAAAACCGGAGTGAGGGTGCAGGAAGAGCCGAAACCGAAGAAAAAAGTTAAGGATCGGACGACTGGTGGCTCATCGTTTGCCCGACGATTTTTCCGATCATTTGTGTCATCCTGCAGAGAATGCCACTCCCTCCAAACGTCCATGGAGGAGGATCGGTAACTAGAGATCATCCATCTTAATTGAGAGCTATTTGTAGTTCTGAGGACTCAAAACTCTCATTACTACTTACGTGAATTCTCGTTTGATTTGGTTTGTAATGATTTCTTCCTCCTTTCTTGTTGACACATGATCTCATTTTTCCATGGTAACAAAGTTTACTAATCTGCAACAAAATCTTCACCCGCTGTAACAATATCGCACAGTTACGTTGATTATTTTACCTAAAAGTTTCTTAATTTCCTCCGGCCCCTTCAAACGAACGGTTAATAACTGCCTTAACGGCTGTAATTATTAAATGGTTATTACCAGGAAGCAATAATAATGGGCTGTCAGTATAACAGCACGAACCAAAAGAGATCAAGACCAGCTTCTAATTAACTCAATTTCAGCCGAAACGCAATTCCTCAGTTTCAGCAGACTCGTCAAGTTCTATCTGAGGGTGGTGGTGGGTATTTCAGTATTAATTATTTGTGAAAAACCTGCTGTGTTGCTTTAAGTGATCCATGCATGGAAATCTAAAGGGCCATCGTGGAATCAATTATGGTAGCTAGCTTTTCTTCTCAAACGTCAATCAAATACTTGCAGAAACGCTCTAATTAAATAGATGATGGAAATGAACAGAGAATGGCGAATACAGTGCGATTTCTTCGTTGCATGCACAATACAGATTAATCTTGGCTTCCATGATTCACCCGTGTTTTTCTTTCTACCAGAGAATAAAATAATAAAAGCTTGAGACCAGCACATGCTGCTATCATTGAGAAGAAGAGTATTACGTGAGAATTCAAGCAAAGAAGAGTACTGACAAAAGCTGGAGTCCCTCCAATGGCAATTATGTATATATATATATATATATATAACGTTAATTCTCTCCTTAATTATCATCCACAACATGCATAGATTGTGGACTGCATGATAAAAATTTTTAAATTGTCGACAAGAACAAGAGTTATAATGGTACACTAAGAGATTTCTAAAATTTTATCTCCTCCTCATCCTCCATGTTGAATTGCCTTTTAAGTTGATGAACTTGTTCGAAAGTTCAATTAAATACCTTGAGAATCTGGGTCAAAACATTCTTAAAACTCCATTTCAGTGTTGTTCCAATAATTACAGTAAACTTTTCACCAAAGCAAGGAGTTCAGATTTTCATGATTCGACAGATTCTATCCTGCTAATAAATTTACAATATGGTATCATGAACGACCGGACATCTGCCAATCCAACGATAGATGCCAAGCTAGCCACTAGCGAGACCTAATGGAATTTTAAACTCTTGAATGTGTGAGGTATTCATGAATTTATATTAGAAATTCGAGATTGTAAAGTATGTTCATGGTTGTCTCTGTCCAAATGGGGCCAATTTACATAGTATTCGAAAATTTTCACATGTAATTTCTCTTAAATTTCCCGAGTACAAATGAAACCAGAGATAATTGCACCTAAATTTTGTTACTACAAATATACAAGTAGCCCAACATATTCTAATGCAATTTTCTTATGCCTTTCCTTCTTTGCTTTCATTGTATTTTAGAAATCTCATCTGTTCAATATCAATCATGGGTTCTATCAAAAGGTCCCTCCCAACTCTTTCAAATCGATGGGAAAACAAGAGCAGACAATCTGTTTAAATATTCATTGAAGTTCCAAGAGAACTACTACTACTGTCTTAAAGCTTGAAGAGGAAATTTGGTTTGATGATCAAGTTTATTGATCAACAACAACATAAGAAGGAAAACTTCTATGTAATGACAGAAATTGGAAGAAGTAAATTGGCATGGAGATAACAACAGGACATTCCAGTAGAGAAGAGCATTAAATTTGCTTCAGAATACAACATCTGACCTTTAGTCCTTCCATACAGAGATCGTTAACAAATTATTCTAGGAAGGTTTCCATGATATCAGAATAAACGCCTGCTTCAGAGCCCCTATAGTCCACTAGGTGGTTTGGACGATGATCTAAAGAAGATGAAGACTACGATGAAGCCACTCTTGCGGATAACGTGAAACTCCTCTTGAACTTGCTTTCCATCTTCCTTGCACTGTTTGACTGGCTCTCCAAGCTCAAGTACTCATAGGTGTTTGCATTACCAGGATTTTCATTCTCGTTCCCATTCTGGCTCTGTGAATTAGAAGTTTCAGAGATGGCCTTAGATTCATCAGTTTTCACACAAAGGTTTATGGCAGAAACAGAATTCTTACCTCCAAGAACGGTTGAGTGGTGCTGTTGGTTTGGTTTGTTTCCTAAGCCCTCAGACCCAAATAGGAGCTTGGCATCATCAGCACGGCCGGTGAGAGCATTAAAGAAGGAAAGCCCGTTTGGCCATTTTATGTCAGAATCATGATCAGCAATCATGTCATTCATTTGGGTCTCAGATGAATGGGGAAGGAGAAAGAGCTGGGTTTCATCCTTTGTCTGCGGGAATCCAAGTCGAGAAGCATTAAGAAAATTGGGGGAACCCATGACAGAAGTTGCAGGTGTGAGTGGCCTTTGGCTCCAATTGAAAACGGGAGCTGGAGGTCTGCTTGGCCCTGCTGCTTGTTTTGAAGGAACGACAGTGGATGAGGAAGCATTCCTGTTTGAAGAGAAGAGCTGGGAGAGGTAGAAACCGGATTGGTAGCCAAGAGATTCGAAGGTATGTCTCATTCTCAGTACAAAGTGCAGGTCTTCAGGTATCTGAGGATAGATGCCATTAGCCCCAGTGAGATCCAACAATTATAGACATAAAAGGTTTTCAAAATTCAAATAGTCTTTGAACAAAAGAACAAAAAAAAAATAACCTCTTAATCATAAAATGAGCTAAACAAGCAGGTACAAATGTACAATTAGGAGGAAAAAAAGAAAACGAAACTCACAATCTTGCAGGAGCCTAGTTGTAGAAGGCCATGGCCAGCTTGAATCACAGCAATGGTCTGTTTAGGAGATATTACAGAGGAGAATCATAAAATGATTAAAGGAAAAAATGCAAATTACAAAAGAAAAAAAAATGTCAGTGGCAAACACGATTCTGTCCTCACCTGAATTCCTGAGTTAAACTGATCAGTCCATTCAGGAGGAAGCTGCAATTACATCAAGTAGAGGAAGTACATTAACAATAACTACAATGGTTACAATAAAGCACTAGCAAAGGATGGTGTGTGTGTGTGTGTGTGTGTGGCATGGAGATTATGCGGGTAAAAATTATTGCCATTAACCTTTTCTCTCCTGGAATCAAATTTACTATTGGAAAGAATCAAGGTAACCATGCCAAAAAACTACTACGCCTTCAAATTTTTAAAATGTTAACCTTCTAATAAAGCAAAGAAATTCCATGGTTTAGGAAGGGTTCTCTACATACAGCATCAAAAGAGCTCTGCCAGTAGTTGGAGATATTGGGTTCACATTCAGAAGGCTCTTTGAAAACCCATTTGTGACACTTATCAGAAGCAACCTTTCCCATCAGCCTGCTCAAATCAATGAACCAATCAAAACCACATACATAAGATAATTGGGTTAACTTCCTATTTTTTTCCTTTCACAGAGGAAAAAGAATCTGAAAAAAAAAATAAAAGAAACACCTACCCAGTACCCACCCTTCTCCATAATTATACAGCTGAATGGACATTTTGCTGAAGGCCTTTCTGACTGGATCCTCCCCATCTATATCCTCCAGACATTCAGCAACTCTTCCCCGGCAAAACCCATCTTCCCACATCAGCATCCTACAAAATTCAAAACCCATCTCAGAAAACATTCAAAAAGCAAAACCCAGATCATGCAATCCTCAGGGCCCATTTTTATCGACATATCCATCTTCGTCTTTTATTTCCCTGTTCTGTGCCCTCTGTTTCTGCAAGTGCAAAAATCATACTCACAAGCTGCCATTGTCGTCGCCAACCTTGCAACCATTACCACCTCTACTTCTCCTACAATCAGGAAACAAACCCACTTAGGGAAAAAAGCACATGAAGTACTGAGGTTAGTTAATTTCCACAGAAAAACAGAGTGTATGTAACATACGGGCGTGGTCGAATGGTCCAGAAGACGGAGTAAGTCCAGTCTGAATTGAGACAGACACTCCTGAGGGCCTCGTGCAGGGCCATCATCCCAACCGCCTCTTTGCTCCTATCTGATGCTCCTGAGCCCACCATCTCTCCCCCCGCCCCCAACTCCGTTATTTGTTTTTTTCACTTCACAATAACTCCTCTTTCTGTTTCTATCTCTCTATGCCCTCCAATAATACCAACGTAAGTGAATTTCGCTAACCGAGGCCTTTTATCTTCTTCAGCATCTCCACTGTCCTCAGGGAAGACCCTTTCTTCATCTCTCACTCTCTCTTTACCATCTCTCCTTTTGCTTCTCCCAAGTAATCAGGTTTGGTAAACTCAAAAAAGTTAAAAAAAATAAATAAATTGGTTTGGTTTGTATGAGAGAGATTTCATGTGTAAACCGTGTCTGTGCTGTGTGTGACTAAATGTGTGTAAGAGAGATGATGATAGCTGTTCTAGTTGTCAATATTTGACTATAAAATAAAACAATCTCTAAGACAGCTTTTATACTTTCTTTCTCACAGAGCACAGCACAGTGACAGTGAAGGAGGAAACTGGAAAGAAAAAGACATGGGGACTGGGGGAGGGGGGAGGGGGGTGGTTTAAAGAACCAAATTACCTTCTTATCCTTTGGGCGGACTGCAGTATTTGTTTGGCTGATCAGACCTAATTCTAGACTAGTTTAGTCCTCAGAGAACACGTCTGACGTTTGGCTGCAATAGGCTACAGGGGTTGGGTGGGCACTGGCCACTGGGGCCACTGGGCACTCTACTTTGACCATGTGGCCTGCCTGCCTAGGTCCACCATCCACCCATGGTGGTGGCGGTGGTGGTGGTGGTGGGCCTGGTGGTCCGGTGGCTGTGGGGGTGGTGGGACACTGGGGCTGCAGCTATCATTCATTCACGAGAGAGAGAGAGAGCATGGTAGTTAGGCCAATCCCAACGACCATCATTCTGGCTTCTGGGCGCGTCTCTGCCAAATGCATCGACCATCAGAGAATCAGAAAGCAATTCTTTGACAAGTGCAAAGAATTAGGGGCTGAACCGCTGAATTTGGCTAGATTCATGGCAACAGGTAGTAGATGTGCCGAGAATTAAGCTAACCCGGGCCGCAGAAAACGGTTGGTTCTGGTGGGTCAGTCAGTGTGTGAAGTCTGAACCCACAGCTTTTAGAGTTTAGACTAGGGCAAGGATGAAGGACCAAGGAGAGAGGGTACGAGTAGAAGTAGGCCGGGACAGGCTATTCCTCCGACTAGGGCAGGCAAATTTCTGTGGAATGATGACACGTGTCCTGGTGTCTTTAACGCAAAAGATGAAGGGTAATGTAGGCAAAAGAAAAAGACGGTATAGAATCTTTACTGGTCAAAAGAAGACGGGGTTGGGGTTCTGACTTCTGAGGATTTTAGATTTGGTTTAAGTATCAAAACACAAGCATTTGCCCCAACATAAAATACTGAAATGTGTCAGTCGAAAGAGTAGAGGAGGGTTAAAGAGGAGAGGTGGGTGTGAGGGGCATTATGGTAACTTTGTAGATTGTCTGTCTGAAGGGTTTAGGGTTTAGTGTATCACGTGCGCCACGTGCGGTGGCAGTGAGTCGGTGCATCGTTAACCATAAAGAAAAGAGGGGAGGACTGAGGACGGGTTGGGTTGGGGTTATACTTTATACTTTTATAGGTAAGACCGTAAGAGTAAGACTGTAAGAGCTGAATGTAATTAATTAATTAATTAAATCAGAGTGAACAAAGAAAATAGGAATAAATAAAAGAGAGAGAGAGAAAAAAAAAAAAAGGAAGGGTGGGGCCCGACTGCATGGATTGCGGGATAGTGTGCCCCATCCACGAGACATCCATCGCCTAATCATCATCAAAACAACAAATGATCAGATCCCATCCTCCGCATTGACCGCCCGTGGCCTCGGCCTCCTCCTCATCACCGTATCTCCATGTGGGACCACTTTTATACAAAGTTTTTAAAATCGAACCGCACAACAAACCGGTCAGAAGTCCGGTTTTCAAGTCGAATGGTCTGATCATTCGAACCGAATGGGACAGTATGTTCTGACAAAAAATAAATAATAATAATAATAATAAATGGTCAAAACCGTTAGACGGTTCAAATGGTTTGACCGCTCAGGTTAGTGATTTATTGACCAAATCAACAGTTTTTTATAAAATAACGGTTCTGAGGTAAAACGGAACCGATCACCCAGTTTTCCAGTCGAATCCGATTTTGAAAACCATGCCTTTATATATTGATTAATTAACCCCTCATTCTCTAATTCAAAAAGTCCTCCAAAACCATCTTCTCTTTTATTATTGTTTGGGTCATGGTTTTCAAACCGTTATTGACTCGGACGGTCAGACCGTTCGACCTAAGAACCATCCTACCAACTGGTTCTGTTTTACCCCAAACCCGATCCCTGGCCAAAAACCGTTGAATCGGTCAACAACTCGTTGACCTGGGTGGTAGAACCGTCAATCCATTCAATAGTTTTTGATCGTTTTTTATTTTTAATTATTATTTTTTTATTATTAAAACGGACTATTTGATCGAACCGGATGATCGAACCATCGACCAAGAAACCAGTGGCCAGAACGGTTCCATTTTCGAGTCGTTTCTTAAAACCATGACTTTAGGTAAGAGACTTAAAACATACCTTAATTTTTTATAAATTGACTTAAACATATCTTAAATTTAAAAAAAAAATTAAATATATTTTATGACTATTTTATCCTTTATTTTTCTTATATTTTTAAAATATGCCTTAAATTCTTTCAAACTCGTAGATGGTGGGTATATTGAATTGCCTCCCTCTCTTTCCCCTCTCTCTACATGGCCACATCTGAACAACATTTCCAAGAAGATAGTAATATAGAAAATGGATTGATGCCTTGGACGCATAATAAATACCATGAGATAACCAATCTGATTTATCTATATTACTATAAAAAAGTACGAATTGGGTTTAAATTAAAATATTCTTTTTTTGAAATAGGGTCCTTTTGTATTTGAGGGTAGAGTAGTTTGAATATTATTATTTATTGCATTTAATTCCTTCTCATTAAATTCCATTTAAGGTATTAATTCTCATTCACCCTCATTTAATCATACACTTAAGGCTTTTTTGTTTCTTTTAATTACTAAATTTCACTAATTAAATCCATACATAAATAACTCTAATAACATAAAAACTAAACAATTTTAGGTCAAATAGGCCAACCCATGTTGCATTGTTTCCACAATTAAATAATAAAAAATTAAAACTTAATAAAATGCAAAAAATATAAAAATTAAAGAAAAAATTGGAAACATCTTTAATATCATATATTCATCATATTAGACAAGAATAAATATGATAAATAAGAAATACTTTCATTAATGATGGAAATTGAATACAAAATTTAAAACCACTTGGAAATAAAATTATTTTCTTATTCTCTCTCATTAATTCTCATATCTAAGGTATATTCTCTCATTAAATCCTATATTTAAGATATATTTTTCTTATCATTAAATTCTATTAATTAAATCCAAAATATTGATTTTAAAAGTATAAAAATAAATATTTCAAAAAATAATTTAAAAATAAAACTATTTTCTTCCCTCTAGTGGTAGGTAAGCAATTTAACCATTTGGGTAAAATGGGTTAAACAATAATGCCATAATTAAATAATATATAAAAATACATAAAAAGGAATTGAGCATATCTCTAATATTATATATTCATTATGTTAAATAAAATTAAGTATGAAATGTAAGAAATACTTTTATTAACGATGAAAATGGAATTACAAATCTAAAATAAACCTTAAAATTAAATTAAATGATGTTATAGTCAAATAATAAAATTTTTAAAATAAAAATACAAAAAAAATCACAAAAATAAAGAAAAATTAGAGAACGATTTGGGTACATATTTGATGTTATATATTTATAAAATAAATAAAATATTGGGTCCATTTATAATATTATACATTCATTATATTGAACAAAAATAAGTATTATATATAATTTTATCAATGATGAAAAAGCAATAATAAATGGTTTGAGTGATGGGTTAGTGGTTTGGGTCAAATGGATTAAGCAATGATGTTATAGTAAAATAATAAATTTTTAATAAATAAAAAAGGCACAACGAATCAAAAATATAAAAGTTATAAAATAATTGGACACATATCTAATATTATATATTAATTATATCAAATAAAAATAAAATATGACAAACAAACATTATTTATATAATGTAGATGAAATATATAATTTAAAATTGATCCGAAAGCAATGCTATTTTCCTATCTAGATGGTGGGTTAATGATCAAACTTTTCGAATAAACTCATGGTGGTGTCATAATTGAATAATAAATATTTAAAAAATATAGAACACAAAAAGTAAAAACTATACAATTTTGTCGAAAATATTTGGAGACATTTCTAATATTATATATTCATCATATTAAATAAAAAATTGTTAAAATAAAATTATTTTTATTTATAATGAAAATAGAATACAAAATTTAATAATAATATCAGTATCCTCATCTAAAATTCGTTTATACTCATGATAAACAATTTCTTTTTCCCAAAAGACAAACAACTCCATCCTAATAAGCAACAAATCTCAATTTAATTATAATAATTCAAAATAATTAGGTGATTGGAAGCCCTCAAAGAATATTAACACTAATGAAAACCAATCCACCGTCAAAAAACAAATAATAAACAATTTGAAACAAAATCCAAAAGCAAAAAAGAACAGAAAGAAGAGTAAGAAATAATATAAAACTGATCAAGCTCCTTATCGTCTTTTACGAGCTGCTGGTCACCATGACTAAGTACTGAGTCCTTTTCTCTTCTGTTCCCACATTCCTTCTTCTTCTTCTTCTCACAAGGGCAAAATAGGATTTTTAAAATTTTAAATGATCTTTTTCATTGATGGAGAATATGTTTAAGTCCTATGTGATTACCCCACAAGGTATGTTTTAGTCTTTTTGAAAAACTTAGGATTACGTTTTAGTCAATGTATGAAAACTCAAGGTATGTTTAAGTCTTTTACCCTTATCGTTTTGGTAAAATCTTCTCCATTACCAAATTAACCTTATTATTTTCCATTTTTCTTACTCTAACCAACCCTCTGCCTGAACCCTTCTTCCTCCACTCTCTCTCTCTCTCTCTCTCTATCTATCTATTTATCTATCTATATATAACATATTATGATTTGTTTAGGATCGGTACTAATTGTACCCAATCAATTAAGACCTGAACCAATTAATCTATGGTGCCAGAAAGACAATATATCAAAAAGACTTTGACCAATCAAAAAACCCTGTAAGTTTTGATGAAAGTCCACCGGATTGGCTTTTATAATGCCATTTGATTGATTAGTTTTTCTGTCTTTCTCGCATTATATGGAAATTTATATGTAATTATGCACAAAGATATACGTAGTAATACACTAATGCTTATTTTTCTCATGATATATTCTCATGTCAATGGACCATATCTGGGTTGGACGTCATTCCAATTAAAAT